CAACCTGGTTGATTCCGTGATTCTGTGATCTCCCCCTCAGCTGCTGCTCACCAGCAGTTGGGAGGTGTCTCCCTGCCACCCTTCAAACAGGAGTCCGTTACTTTTCTCCCTTCTTATGGGTGTTCAACAGCCTCTCTGGGACACACCAGGTCTGATGCATGATCCCATGTCCTGACCCCATGCCCAGACCCAGGGAGAACTCAGGTATCAGCTGCAGCTCCCAGGTTTTCCCAAATGACATTGTTTCTCTAATGCTGTCACTGTGTTTTCCTTGCAGAGATAAAATCCCAGGAAGAGTCTGTGACAGCAGCAGCAGAGGGACCTCGATGATCTTTGACTGTCACCTCATGTAAGAGATGTAGTGCCCTTTCTAGACTTCACTCACAAATTGGCAACTTCAAAGTGCTCAACTCACTGGAGCCATGGCAACAGGGGATCCAGATGTGTTCCCATCTCAGGATGTGAAGCGAAGTACCAAGCCCATGATGAAGGGCATGGCAACTCCAAAGAAGACAAAGATCACATTTGATGTCATGAAGATGTTAGACCCATATCAGCTGAAACCTGGTAGCACGGAGACAGAAAGAATCATGAATGTCCTGGATGAGACAGCTGCCAAGCTGGAGATGAGCAGTTTGATCCCACATGTGGTGGACTCTCTGGATAGGTTTGCTGATGTACTGGGTCCTGAGATCACAAAGAACCTGCTGGAGCTGCAAAAGCTTTCCATGGAAATGGAGTGCCTGCTTGCCAGCTCCGAGGAAGAGACCAGCACGAAAGCTGAGGAGCAATGGGGCCGCCTCTGCTTTCTAGAGCAACGTCTGAAATGTTCTGTTAGAAATGTCCTGAGACTCTTCCTGGCCAACCCTTCACTTCCCCAGGCTCTGAAGCCCAAAGTTGGGGTAGGAGAGTCACCAGCTGAAGTGTTTGTCAAAGCCTTTGGGGTGTTCAGGAATTTCATGCTGGAGAGATTGCTGACTAGTCCCATGGAAGAGAAAGGAAAGATGCAGTTTGTGGAAGACATCTCTCTCCAGATTAAGCAGCACGCTGAAGCAATCGCAGCCCTGCAGGCAAAGCTGGCAGCAGCAATCCAGACTCGAGAGGATGAGGTATGATACTGGAGGAATATGTTTTCCAACACAGAGTAACTGAAGCCAGTCTTGGTAAGCTAAAACCTCATCCCTTGCTTGCAATTCCTAAAGAAGTTCTAGAAGTGATTTCTAACCCAGGTCCTAAATAGAAAAGATACTATTTTAATGGAAAATATGGTGAAAAATGCTTATTGCATGTTGGATGACTTTAAAACTGGAATTTGGCATGTTTGGAACCTGCTCTCACCGCTTGGATGACACAAGTCAGTGTGTTTCAAAGGAGCTGCAGGACAGGCACAAATTGCTGTGGTGGTGTTTTGGCAGCACGAGCCTCCCTTCACTGCTGCTGAACGGAGGAAAAGCCATTCCAGGGAGAGATCGCCCTTATTCAAATCCAGCTTTAATACCTGCTCTTTGTGCTGCTTAAACCCAGCGCCTCTGTGAGCTCCGCGGTGACACCAGCGGCCTCAGAGCACGGGGGGCTCGTGTGTGGCTGGAGGAGCCCTTGGGTTGTCCAGGGCGGGCAGCTGAGGCACAGAGAAGCGAACGGGCGTTTCCCGGGCTCCGGCTGCGAGCCCTGTGCCACAGCCAAGCCCGGGCTCCGGACGAGCACCGCTGTGTTTCCCGGGGAGCTTGTCCCCCTCCTTCCTGCCAGAGGGGGCAGAGGGGAAGCTTTTGTCATGTGCTCGTCGCACTGAATGGTGCTGCCGGAGGCCGGGACCTGCTTTCCCCATTCCTTCTGCTCCCTGGGGATCTGTGGACCCAGACACTTGAGATCTTGATGTGCAAGTTGGCAGCTTGACCAGGGCATCGTGACTAAATGTGTTTCACTGGTCCCAGCTGAGGGTTGCTCTTGCAGCAGCACACTGGGCTGTGTCCCCCAGCAGTCACTCTTGAGCTAACGCAAAGCTCGGGGGAGCCGTGGGGCTCACTCCACTTGCTCTGATTCTGGCTGTTGCTCAGACAACAGCGCTGGTGGGACTCAACTGTGGTTTGTTCATTCTCTGCCTTTATTAACAGGACCCCAGAGGAGCAGAGGCGGAAGGTTTCCAGAGCACCTCATGTAAATCTAACTGTTCCCTCAGCCTGCAGTGGCAGATCCCTCTTGCTGCCACATCAGCAGTGTGCCTCCTTAGATCTCCTGCCCGTTCACAAGGGTTCCATACTCCTCCTGCCCACCTTATACCTCACCAGCATTCCTCAATGGTGTTTCTTTCCCTTGTTTTCTGGCTCTAGATTCACAAGAAGGACAATGTGATCAAAGACCTCAAAACCAGAATTCAAGATGTGGCCAAAGACTCCAAGATCAGCTTCCAGAAGATCAAGGAGGAAGGAGAAAACCAGCAGAAAGTGGAGCTGCAAGTCTCCCAGAGCAGGTGTGCTGGGCTGCAGCAGGACATTGAGCAGCTACAAACACAACTCACTGCACTTGTGGTGGAGCACCGAGCATCTGAGCTGGCTCTCAGGAAGGTAAACAGGAGGAGAGCCCTAGAACAGGAGATTGAGAGTGTGGTGTGTTGCTGTCAGCTCTGGCTGCTGTAAGCAGTGACTCGGCTCCTGCTGGCTCCTGGCAGGAGGCACATGCTGTTTGTCAGAGCTTACCTGCTCTGTCCTCACGCTCTGCTGGTTCTGGTGGCAAGCAACCTGCAGTGACAGCAGGGGAGCAGCTCCCTCACCTCCTCCTGCTGCTGCCTCAGCTCTGAAAACACCTTCATACAGCGTGGAGGGAGCCTGGGCTCAGGGCAGGGTGCAGAGCAGCAGAGCTGTAGGAGAAAGGAGCAGGGGTTTGGTGTAGGGTAAGCAGGACAGGCGTAATATTGGCTTTAATAAAGCCATCTTTAGAGGTGGTGTAGTGTTCAAGGTTGAGCAGAGCTGAGCCTGGGAACTGAGCAGCTCCTGCTCTGCCTGGCCCTTGCCTGAAAACACAAGCCAAGGAGTGGTGTTGAGGTGAATGAGGGGGAAATGTAATTTACTCCAGTGCTAGGCAGATGCAGGAGGAGGAAACAGGAGCAATGGGCAGGCTCAGGCCCCTGTGTCAGCAGCTCTGCCCTGAGCAGGACATGCTGGTGGCACAGAGAATCCAGAACTGGAAAAGGGGCATTATTCCCTCTCAGTTTGCTCCTGGAGGCTATTTACTCCAAACAGGTGCAGGAGAGCACACATAAGCAATGGGGCCTCTTTCACTCTTGCTTTGGACCATGCAAGGTGGCAGTGGGGCTGGGCACTGACAAAGTACAATCCCCAAATCTCCCCATTTTCACCTCCTTTAGTGGAGTGCTTTATCAGGCAGCTGCTCCCAAGGCTGCTGGGCACCCCGGTGTTTGCTGGGGAGTTGTTCAGCTCATTCCAGTGCTCAGGCAGACACATCTCCTGACCCCAGAAGTTTCTTTTCCCCCTCCTTTGCACATCCTCAAGCCCTGCATGGCCCAAGACTGCACTCGTGGTCTAAAGAACTGAGGTGTGACCTCACGATGGCCTGGGAGCCCTTGGAGCACCCTGGGTCACTGCAGTACAGGAAGCACTTATGCTGGGCTCTAGCTGACCTTTCCCTTGGTGCTTCCATGGAGCAGAGGGGTGAAGTGCTCTATCTGGTAACTCTGCAGTATAGCCTGCAGTGTTTTACAGCTAGAAATACCTTTGTTTTAAAAAGCACCATTTTTTGAGTTCTTTCTGTCTCACTTCCATGTTTAGCCATTCTCTATTGCTCTGGTTTGAGGATGCTTGCCCCAGTGTGTCAATTACTTGCCACATTCCATCAGGCATGTTCATTCCCTACTGCAGAATGCACTTTTCGGGTGTGTTTCAATCCCTGGCTCCACACTGTAAACCAAATAAGGCCTTTTGGCCCCAGGGAATATGCTATGAAATCCCAAACCAGGGCACACAACGTGTGTGTCAGCTGGAGGAAGCTTGCCACATGGAGGAGGTGTTACGCTCCCATGGGATAGTGCTGGGGCTCAGAGCTACACTGTTCTCTTGCTCAGGCTACTCTTTACCAGGGTTCAGGTGCCTGCAGGGAACTTGTCTTTTGTTTCAGAGGAAGTGCAGATTGGAGGTGGAAATTTGGAACTGGGTCCAGAAATACGACACAGACATGGCAGAAAAACAGGTATCTGCTTTCAATGTTTTGCTCTCCCAGGAGGTGACAAGTTCGGGTGGATTCCTGCCCACATGGACACGTACCTCTTGCACAGGTGGCTGTGGAAGTGAGGAGCAGTTCTCCATACAGAAGCAGCACAGGCTTTGTGTGTCCTGCCTGTGTGCTCAGGAGGTCTCTGCTGCTTTGACTTTCAGTGACTGCTAAATCCCACCGTATTTGGAGCAAAAGGGTTGCCATGTTCTGTCAGACACGTCCACCTGGGAGCAGGCTTTTCAGTCTGGCTCCAACACTCTGTCCTGTTGGCCCTACCTGGTGTCCAAATCACACTTCTGGTGCTGCTGGCACCCCCAGGAGAAGTGCTGACACCAAACGGGCTGCATACCACTGCCCTGGTCCCCGCTGACCCACAGCAGGCTGAGGGGCACATCAGCACCCCTGACCTCACCTCCGAGGAGACCCTGCTTGTTTTCCTGTTCTCACCATCTTTATGGAGGTGGAGAAAAGCTGCTGAGTTACCGACAAAGCCAAGTGTAGGGAGGGGCCTAAGAGCTGGCTGCTAATTGTAGGAGATGATCCCCCTTGTCAGGGGTTTAACAACGTGGTGGTGGTTTCGTGCTGGGTGGCACCATGTCACAGCAGGTTTGAGGCAGAACTCACTAAGGCATCACACATCCACACTGCTGGTTCCCCTGACCTTCCACCTCCCTGTGGCTTCCCCGAGGCCATTAGGAAAGGCATAAACTGCTGTGGAGCCTGGGAGGGCAATGGCACCGCAGCAACTGCCTGTGCTGGGCCTTTCCCAGGCTGCCATGGCCTGGCTTTTCACATGCTCTCAGCTTCAGTGCTGCTCATCTAAGCACCACCGCAGCAGAGCTGGTGGCTCAGGCTCAGCCTTACCCAGAGCACAGTGATACATAGCTCTGCACAGAGCATCTGCAGAAGGGGCTCTGACCTCCTCAGTTCCCAGCTGAGGGTGGGTACAACACAGGAAGAATGACAAGATGATGGTCTCAGGAAATTCCCTGGGTACTGGGCACCTTTTTGAGTCCCTTTGGAAAGACTCAGCTCCCAGTCATGGCT